TCGTGGTTGGGTTTTGCCTTGCCAATGCGTCATTTTGGCCCGAAAGACAGGATGTTGGGGTCCCCTCTCCAATACTGGGGATGTGTGGTCCGTGTCACTGTTTCGTCCTAACCAGCGTAGGGAGTGTTCGTGGGTCAGCGTTTGGGAGAACACCGGGTAGGGGAAGGAATGGCTGCAATGATGGCATTTCTTAGCACACCTTTGGATTCATCATGAAAACAATTATTTCTGAGCAGCAGTTGGTAGCAATGGAAACTACTTCAGCTGCATCAGCACTCTCAACAATTACATTATACTCTTTTTCAAGGTGACCTGTGAAAATGGTTCGCTATTCTCTAGATCCAGAAAACCCCACAAAATGTAAGTTTATCTAAATATATAAATAAATGCACGTGTGTTATTTTGAAGTGGATGTGAACCGTGCCTGACATTAACCGACTTTTTATGCTTTTTAGCATGCAAGTCAAGAGGTTCCAATCTTCGTGTACACTTTAAGGTAAGGTATAGACGATCTATAAGATACAAGACTACATACATATTTTCTATGTCTTCCCTTCAGGTGGTAACTGCAATGATGGCTTTCTTAGGACACCTTTGGATTTACCATGAAAACTAAATCACTTCTGAGCAGCCACCTTTTTATCTAGACATTGAACACTGGGGTCTAGTGAGCATGTTGACTTGAGATTTATGAACTTAAATAACAAGAGAAATACTGGGACTTGTGCAGGATAAGATCAGGTTGAAACAGTTATTTTACACTTGATGGAGATTTGAGGTTTTCCTTAGCTTTTTAAAATCACATATGTCTCCCAGTTGAACAAAAAAACCTTTATCTCAGTGCTTTATCTCAGTTTACCAGAATTTATTACTTGTATTTAGAACACCAGAGAAACAGCCCAGGCCATCAAGGGTATGCATATCTGAAAAGCTACCACGTATCTGAAAGATGTGACGTTAAAGAAGCAATGTGTGCCATTCCGGCGTTACAATGGTGGAGTTGGCAGGTGTGCCCAGGTGAGAAATCTAAGTTGGTATTTGGGGGAGGAAATTACACAGGTGATTGGTTAGAAATAGTTAAATCTGCCACTTTTGGTTGCTGTGATGACAATCTTAGGACACCTTTGGATTAACCGTGAAATAACTCAAGTTCTGAGCAACCTTGGTGTTGAGTTAAACATTCCACCTTGATTCTAACGTAGATTTGAACCAAAGAAAGTAATTTGTCTCCCTTTATTTTCTTCTAGGCCAAACAGTGGGGCTGGACTCAGGGTCGGTGGCCCAAAAAGAGTGCTGAATTTTTGTTGCACATGCTTAAGAATGCAGAGAGTAATGCAGAACTGAAGGTACACAAAGTATTCACATCTATGTATGTGCAACTTAGATGGTCCACATTTATGTCTTCAGTTGTCCTGGTTATTTAAATCTCATGTAAATTTTTAAGAGTTGCTGCCTTCTAACTACAAAATTCTGTGTAAAATTCCGGATGTGGTTGTCTTTATTGCCAGTATTTGTGGGGTGAAAGCAGGAAGATTTGGAAATGAAGGCCAGGCTAGACTGACAAAAGCTTTACAAGAAATAGTGTGGCCTGAGTGATGGTGACCTGTAATCTAGCTGCTCAGGAGACAATTCAAAGCCAACCAGAAGTGATACTTTTGTTCCAGTGGTAGAGCACTGGCCTTGAGTGGGGGAAAAAAAACCTCAGGCACTCAGTTTGAGTTCATGCCCCATGACTGAAAAAAAGCAAACACGAAGATGCTCATGAACAATCTACACACATGTAATACAGTTGTCCCTTGTTCCCTGCACTTGACAAAAGAAATTTGTTTCCTGGGTTGGGGATGTAGAAAATGGTGTTTGCCCATCAAGTGACAGGCCCTAGAACTTTAGCACAAGGTGATATAATTTGTTTTTGTTTTGAACCTATTGTTGATGTGGCTAATAACCATACTGACTGCTTGATCACTAATATGCTTTATTGGCCTGCATTTATAGTGAAAAACATAAAATAGCAATATAATTGATGAAACTTCTCCATTTGGGTTATAATTAATTACCACTTGAGAGGAAAAAGGTCTTTTCTTCAACTAACAACCCATTGGAAGACAGCCATTCAAATTTTGTTCAGGCAAGAATTTGGCATTTTTTTTTTTGCCAGTGATGCATTTAATGGTATAAAAAATTAGAGATATTGCCTAATTCTGTTCTCTACTCTTCCAGGGTTTAGATGTAGACTCCCTGGTCATTGAACACATCCAGGTGAACAAAGCACCTAAGATGCGCCGCCGAACTTACAGAGCCCATGGTAGGATTAACCCATACATGAGCTCCCCCTGCCACATTGAGATGATCCTTACTGAGAAGGAGCAAATTGTTCCTAAACCAGAGGAGGAGGTTGCACAGAAGAAAAAGGTAAGTTGATTTGTGCACAATATTAGAAAGACAGGGTTGCTGTGATGACTATCTTAGGACACCTTTGGAATAACCATGAAAGGAAACTTATTCTGAGCAACCCTCCTGACTACAGTATTTTTGTAAACTTTGTGTTAAATACATCAAGTCCAACACTTGCTTCAAAATCTGATGAACTTGTTTTTAGCAAATGATAAGCCAAGACCTATTACTGATTCTATACCTTGTTCCTCATAACTAAATTTAACTTCATTGATTTTGGTACTTATATTAGCCCCTCTGGCCTTATTCCCCTCTTTTTTTTTTTTTGTCTTTTTTGGTACTGGGGATCGAGCCCAGGACATTGCACTTGCTAGGCAAGCACTTTGCTACTGAGCTACGTCCCAGCCCCCTATAGTTCTTAACAGCAGGACTGCCTCTGCTCTTGACTTGAGGATAAACTGAAGTCTTGTAAAAATTTAATGTGTTTCTTAGAAACTTAATGGTCTTTATTTTCTTTGCCCAGGTATCCCAGAAGAAACTGAAGAAACAAAAACTTATGGCACGGGAATAAATTTAGCATAAAATAAACGCAAATAAATCAATGTTGGTTATCGTTACTTTATATGTGTTTGGGTTTCCTCTTATTAAAATTAGCCACAATTTTTTTTGCTTAGTTGGGGTCTTTTCAAGCATCCCAGGCTGGCTTTTTTTTTGAGGGGGGGGGGCCGGTCCTGGGGCCTGAACTCTGGGCATGAGCATTGGCCCTCAGCTCTTCAGCTCAAGGCTAGCGCTCTACCACTTAAGCCACAGCACCACTTCCGGCTTTTTTTCTTTTTGCTTATGTGGTACTGAGGAATCGAACCCAGGGCCTCATGCATGCAAGGCAAGCGCTCTACCACTGAGCCACCTTCCAAGCCCCCCCCAGGCTGGCTTTGAAATTGGCAACCCTGCTTCATTTACTGAGTTGGGATTATAGATGTGCATCACCATACAGTTAATGGCTGGGGCCATTCTGGACACTTAAAAACTTGTGTTTTGTTATGAAGAGACCTGTTTCTTAACCTTCCTGAACTTGACATGCTTATCCCTCCCTGTTAGGTAGGGCTGGCCCAAACATGTTTTGAATCCTGATGCCTTTTTTATATAAACACGTGGGTGGAGGGAGGGTAATGGGATTTAAATTCAGAGCCTCTTGTTTGCCTGGTAGGTACTGTACTATGGGCTAATTCTGAATTACACACCCCTTTTGAGTGTCCCTGTCCACTGTGCCTGGACTGACACCTGTTTTAGTCTATTGTAGTCTTGAGATGCCCTTTCAGAATCTCCCATTGAAATCAGGGGGCTTCCCACAACACAGCAAAGTTGAGAAGAGGTCTTGTGAAAGGCTGCTTGCTTTGTCCTTGGACCTCTAGCTTCCTTAGTTTAAGATTACGAGCATAAATCACCAGCCAAGGGTATTTCTGGTCCACTCCTTTGAGATTTACTAAGAGGTACAGTTCACCGATTTATAGTGCAGTGTTGATGTACTCAGCCATGCATCCATGACTGGCTTGTGATTAACCCGCTTCCACTGTACCCATCCTATTTCGGATACTTTTGAAGAAAATTGGTATATGGCCTGTTGGCACTAGCCTTCACTGCATTTTCAAGATTAGGGCATGTTAACTATATATATGTTTTTAATTTTTTTGCTAGTCGTTGGACCTGAACTCGGCCTGGGCACTGTCCCTGTGGTTCTTAAGCTCAAGTAGCGCCCTACCACTTGAGCCACAGCACCATTTCTGGCTTTTTCTGCTTATGTTGTGCTAAGGAATCGAACCCAGGGTCTCATGCATGCAAGGCAAGCACTTTACCACTGAGCCACCTTCCCAGCCCCCCCCTTTTTTTGGGGGGGTGCTGGAGTTCAGGTCAATGCACTTGTTAGCTGACCTATGTCCCAGCACGTTTTTAATCCCCTGTGACTGAACGCTTGAGTTTACAAATAGTACTGTGAACTAAGAGTTATTTTCATTTCTCGCAGGTATGTACCCCAATCGATGAGCGGTTGGAATACTAAAGGCAGTTTCTAGTATGTTTTCGCCTCGGTATCCTCACCTTTTCCAAGCAACAGTGTCCTGACCCGAATTTATGTACCCCAAGCTTACGTGGTTGACTCCCAAATTCCTCTGCTCATGCTCATGAAGTGGTGTGAGGCGGTGCAGACCTCTCGTCCCAAGCACACAGGCTAGAGCCAGGCCAGCCTTGGGGACACAGGCCCCCTCATCTAGTAAATAGCTCAATGAAAGCCTCAGGCTACTATACTACCGGGGAGTGAGCTCCAGCCAGCGTCATTTCCTGAATGCATTTTAAATCTCCCTCCAGCATTGAAGGACTGCACTGAATTCCTCAACAGGAAGCTAGGCTCTGCTGCCCCGCCCTCAAGGGTAAGGCCCTGCGTCACCATTGCGTCTTGTACGTCCTCCTGACGCAGTACGCCTTTGTCGGACCTTTGGAGCTGCCAATTGGCTGGCAGCAGCTGGGCCCTCCCTCCGGAAGTGAAGTGCAGACTTGGCCTGGGGGCTTCGGGATCGCGAAGTGGGTTTGCGGTGAGTACCGCTGGGTTCGGGTGCAGCGGGGCCCCAGTTCTCCTCATTCCCGCGGCGCTTGGGCGCGGCGGCTCGCAGACTCCAACCCGGAGGCGCTCCTTCATTCCCGGCCCTCACGGTACGTGAGGCACGTCGATCCCCGCTCGAGCCTTCCCTGGTCCAGCTCCGCATTGGCGGCGGGGTCCGGCCCGGCACCTCCTCAGCCGGCCTTCCTTCCTAGGCGGCCGTTTCGTCCTCTGCCTCTATGTCCCTTCCCTGCCGAACCCTTCCGGTCATTGCAGTCGTCGCCCCTCACTTGGTCTGACTCCGCTGGTTTCTTTGGAGGGCGATGGCTTTCCGGCCCTACCTGCCGGGTGTCCATGTGTCTATCTAACCATCTAGGACCAAGGCAGTGGAAGATTCCTCGGCAGCCGTTTAGTCCATTTTTCTGACTCTGTTGGCTTGGAGAACCGTTAAAGTGGCAACGAGCCCTTGCCACTTTGTAGTTTCATAGTTTCTTGTGTGAAATGTGCTACAAAGAGGACTTCTTTCTGAAAAGAGCTAAAGTTTTATAAAAGCCACGCTTGTGGCTTGAGTGAATAGTCGCACTTTCCCTTGAGAATTTATTTACGACTTATTAAAATACTCAACGGCAAAGGTAAAAATGAGTATGATGGGTTGCTAGTCATCATTCTGGTAGGTAGCACCACCAGTTTTGTGAGGGCTGAGTAGAAGGGGAAGAACGTTACTGTTGTGTATTTTGGAAGAGGAAAAGCCAAGGAGAGTCTTGAGCTGGGAAGCCAGAACTGGGAATTCCAGTTGACCTATGGTTCACTGCTAGTTGAACTTAGTACAGGTCCTAGCTTTCAGATCTTCCTTTTCCTTTTTGTAATACTTGTTTCCACAGCATATTGTCACACCCTTACTTCATGTCTGTGACATGGGTACTTTCATTGCCTTCATTTTACATGTGAAGGAATTAATTTGCTCAGAAAGTGGTGAAATAAGTATTAGGTCTAGGCAGCTGCCAGGCTAAGTCTACCTGACAAAATTGTGCAGTGGTACCTAAGAGTGCAAGACCCAAGACACCACCTCAGAATCTCTTCAGATCAGCCAAAAATAATTATTCTTGGGGAAAAAAAAAATCGCTGCTTCTATGACTGTGTGTGTGTGTGTGTACACGTGTACGTGTGTACTGAGGCTTGAATACACGGCCTCACACTTTACCTTAGTGTTTTTCCTCAAGGCTAGCACGTTTCCACTTGAGCTAGCCACACCTCCACTCCACTGGTGATTAATTGGAGATAAGAATTTCAGGACCTTTTTTGCCCTGGCTGACTTTGAACCAGTATTCTCAGATTCTGATTAGCTAGGATTACAATTGTGAGCCACCAGCACCTAATTTTTATGACTTTCAATCAAAGCGTTTGTTCCTTATGCTTTTTGGAGCACATTACTTGGACAAGTTTTTTAAAAAAATTTAATTTGTCGAAGTTTCAAAGAGTTTATTGAATTCTTTGTAAAATAGATGGTCATTCCTTGATGTAATTTTCACTTTTGTTTATACCTCTTGTGATTCATTTTCAAAGCTACATTCTTATTATTATTAACCTGTAGTATGAATAATTTTTTTAATTTAATGTTGTTTTATTTGTGAACATACTGTACAGAGGGGTTACAATTGCAGGGGCAGAATAATGCGTACATTTCTTACCAAGCATTGCATCCTCCTCCTTTGTTTACCCTTCACATCCCTTCCCAGCCTCCCCCCTCCCGAATAATTTTTAAAAGCTTAGTGATGGTGCTATTTTCCAGCCAGTACTACTTTATAATATTTTGGAATTTACAAGTCTTAACATTTTGCATTATGCTCAGGGGTATATGACTTATGTACCATTCTGAAGCTGAAGAATTAACCGATATGATATTGAATAGAATTTTATTACTTGACACACCTTATTTATCCCTAAAAACAAAAGGACTAGAAATATACTTTAATGGTAAAGTACTTGCATAAGCATGCACAGAGCCTCAAGTTTGATCTCCAGCTCTGTGGGAGCTAGGAGACAGAAGAAAAGTAAAAGAAAAGAAGGGAGACTGTTGCATGGGAAAGGCTAATTGATTTGTAGCTTTTTTTTTTTTTTTTGCTTGTAGCATTGTTAGGTTTGGCAAATTGATACTGTCAGTCTCTGAAGATTGAGCCTTGGAAATTAATTCACTCTAAATAGACTATGTCATTATGTTTTTATGTCTCTACTTTTGGTCTGTAAATGAAGATAGCAAGGGCACCTGGCCTCTATGAGTTTTTTGAGAATTAAATAGATTGGCACATGTAACCCATCTAGCACCTACTGAATGTTGATGTCTTATTCAGATTTATGATTGGGAAGGTTGGCATCTGGCATCTCTCTGTTTATATCTATCACCTATTCCTTTACCTTATCTATAAGGTAACAGCAGTTTTATCTAAAAAACCTTTGCTTTTGGCAAATTGCATATTTTAAGTATTTCCTTCACTATAAATATAATCCTTTCAAATAACTTGAAGTCCTTCAATCATCAATGGGGAGCTAATTTTTTTTTATCCCTTATATCAACAGTTTCAGAGCTCAAGCCTGGGACAATGGTGTGCATTCCTTGTATCGTCATTCCAGTTCTGCTCTGGATCTTCAAAAAATTCCTGGAACCATACTTATACCCTCTGGTCTCCCCTTTTGTTGGCCGTATATGGCCTAAAAAAGCTGTACAAGAAGCCAACAATAAAAATAAAGGCATAGTAGACTGCAAGGTAAGGAC